ACTGCCCAGCCCCCTCCCAGCTCAGCCTGCACACTGCCCAGCCCTTGGGGCTACAGCCCTTGCTGCGATGCCACCAGCTGCTTCTTTCTGCATGTTACCGCTCAGTCCACACTACCAAGAGTAGGCAAGGAAAGACCACTCTGGGGGAGCCTGGTGCTGCAACGCCAGGGGAGGCAGCACAGGAGGGCATCTCCCAGGCAGCTCACCACGTGAGCCTGAGCAGCCTGCTTATGTCACCCAAGAAGGGGCAATTGGATCAATCATAGCCATCAGTTTGTGTGTGTACCAATCACAGCCTTGCCACTTAACAACATTGGCCCACTCCTTGAGATGGAACCCATATCTGACACCACCAAAGCATCCAAGAACCTGAGACCAGATAGATCACGGAACCTAGGGGAAAACCTACTACTACCATTCTGCTAAAGGAACATAGCAATAAAGTGACTCCTAATGACGTTGATTTGACTGTTCACAAGATCAGTGCATCTCTCAACCCTCATCAGAGAAGCTTCTTCTTGCAGTAGATGGTAATTAACACAGAGGCCCACAACAAGAATGTGCAAAGAGTGAGAGACTTTGAAGCACTCAGTTCTAAATGGGATGTCTTCAGCAAACTCCTCCTCTCGGGGTTCTATGCAGAAGAGAAGGCAGAAAGGTTGTAAGAGCCAGAGGTGATCATCTTCCAGGCACAACCAAACGGATACACAAATGAACTCAGAGATGCCGTGGCGGCATGCACAAGGCCTGCAACAAGTGCAGACCGAACAGACCCCAGGTTCTCAAGCTGTGGGTCGTGACCCCAAATGGGGCTGAATAAAAAACGTGGCGTTGTGAAAAATTTGACAACAGCAAAAGGTTTCTCAAGGGGGCTGGAAAGATGGCTCAGCAGTTAAGAGCACTTGCTGATCTTGCAGATGACCTGGTTTTGGTTCCCAGCATGTACATGGTGGCTTTCAACAAACTGTAACTCCAGTTCCAGGAGATCTGACACCACTTCTGACCTCTGTGGGCTCTTGTGTGCATGTGGTCACACATGCACTCTATACACACACATTTGCGCACACACCCACACCCACACCCCCCCCAAATTTCAATAAAAGTTTTCTGAAAGCCCAACAACCAATCCAAAATCAAAACATAATGAATCCAAGGTGATTCTGCCAGGCAGGGCTTGCCAGTGTCGGATTACCTGACTTCAGTGGGGCAGCCTTGGTTCTGAACACACAACACATGCATGTGTGTTGTCCTGTGCATCTCCTCAAACCTACACATGGCCCACAAACAGTGCCTGAAACACTTTGCCTCAGAACGGAGACTATGGAATGTTGTGCATTGCAGTGTTTTTAAAGCTACAATAATTTTTTTGTTGCTATAAAAATGAATGATTTAATTACAGAAAACAAAGACTTTTAATATTTTCCTCCCAGCATTCCTCAGCATATAAGGAACAAATTAGTATATATTTAGACTTGTATTGTGTTAGAATGTTTGATTTCAAAAGTTGCTATTTGAGCTGCATACTTGAGTTTCATAAAAAAAATGTTAAATGCATGTTGGCTTGGGATTAGGGCAGAATTTCCAACCATTTCTAAGATAGCTCTAAACATTCTTTGTATTTATGCAAAGCAATAGTCCCATCATTGACAATTAGAAAATTAAAATATTGATCAATTATGAAAAACACTGACAATGTTCTACCTTCTTCGGCATCAAATTTTCAGCCAGTATTTATTTTATGTAAAAATAAACAAGCTTATCCATCTCATTAGAATGCGAATTTTCTCTCATCTTTAATAAATGGAGGAATTATATAGATACCTAAGATTTTCTTAAAAATAAAATTCATTATGACTTATTACCAGCAAACATTTGGTTGGTGTATCCATTTAGTGTACATACACATTTGAGTCATGTGAAATTGTTCATGTTAAAAGGCGGGTTGCAAGTGAAAATTTTGGACTGAGGCTGGCAACAGCAAGCCTGGTATAAATGTCTGAGACAGTGGAGCCTGCACCTTCAGATGGGGTAGGCAGCCATGTTTGCTGTGCAGTTTTCTCAAGTCCTCTGTCCGGTGAGTGTTCCAGACCACGGGTGCTAAGGGTAGTCTAGCTAACTGTCTGACTAACAATGGCCACTAATTAGAGTCAGTGTCTTTGCTTATTTACGTTTACAGGAAGATGAACTTCAGAAGGGGTGCTTACAGGAAGAACGTCATAACTTGAGCCTGGGGAGAGGGTCGATAAAACGTGGGCACATCATGTGTCCTTATTTGACTAAGAGCAGGCCAGTTAGCCCTCTGGCCTTCTTTCCAAATGTCGCCCATAGGATTTGTCTGGACAAGGGTGGTTTAGGGGTTCATTAGTTGGGGGTTCTCTAGTTACTTTCTATTGCCATGATAAAACACTGACCCAAACCAGCTTAGTGGAGGAGAGGTTTCATTTGGGTTGCAAGTCCCCAGTCACAGTCCATCATCGGGGAAAGTTGGAAAACTCAAGAAGGAGCAGAGGTCCAGCAATGGAGGAGTGCTGCCTACTGGCTTGCTCTTGATGGCTTGCTCAGCCTGCTTTCTTACAATGTAGGACCACTTGCCCAAGGCGTGGTACCCCTCCACGGTGGTCTGGGTGCTGCCACATCAATCATTCATTAGTCAAGAAGATGCCCCATAGGCTTGCCTACAGGCCAATCTGAAAGAAGCATTTTCTCAACTGGGTTTCTCTCTTTCCAGGTGATCCTAGTTTGTGGCAAGTTGGCAAAAACTAACCAACACACTATGTCACAGGGAATGGGGATGGGGGTTCGTGGGTGGTAGTGACCTAGGAATCTCATATTAAGACTGAATTGCAGTGGGGACATGATGTTTTATTCAGTTTCGGTAATGCAAACTTAAAAAAAAATCTGTATTTCCCAGATATGGTTTTATTCACGATTCCCAAAATAAAATGTAGACATCTAACCTTCCTGAAAAGCACCTATCTTGAGACTGGTGGAGAATAAGGAACAGAAGGTACAGCAGAGAGGCCTCTGGGCGGCAGAAACGGTAGTAAAATGATAAAACAATCATTTCAAGAATAGCAGAGCATACAAGCTTGATACCGCACTTTCGAAAATGGCAAGGGACTGCGGCTTGGATACACTAGATGGCCTGGTTCACCTGCACACAGGGCTGCGCTAAGGGGGCGTGGCTTAGCCCTAAGAAGGCCTTGGAGGTGGGGCGAAACTGCCCGGGGGGCGTGGCCGGTCAATAGGCAGGCACTCTCCGCGGGTGCGGTCGCGAGGGCGGGAGCGTGGCCCCGCAGCTATCCGGTGCGCCGCGTTCTCAAGTTCTCAGTGGCGTTGCCGGCATCGTCCCCTTGGCGGCCGCTCGCGTCGCGGTTCCTGAACAGGCCCGGCCCTGCCGGGAGCGACAACGAAGCCCTGGAGAAGCCACCGTCCCCACCGGCGCCTCCGCGGGCGCAGAAGTCGCCCGGGCTGGGGAAGGCGGCAGTCGCCCCCAACCGCCGCCTGGGCACGGTCCGCGGCGGGCTAATGTCTTCGCCACCGGGCCGCCGCGCCCGCCTGTCGTCCCCTGGGACGAGCCGCCAGACGCCCGACGCCCGCGAGGAGGTGCGGCGCCGCCTGAAGGACCTCATCGAGGGCAACCGGGTGATGATCTTCAGCAAGAGTTACTGTCCACACAGCACGAGGGTAGGCGGGGCCGGCCGGAGCGGAGCTATGGGCCGGGCCTGATGGGCAGGGTCTAAGCAGTTCCTGGTGGAAGGAGCGAAGTGGATGTGGACCCCTGGACCTGGTGGGCCGGGCGGCAGGAGCGTGGTGAAGGGGCTGGGCGAGTTCCGTGCGACGGATCTAGGGGGTCTGGGCACCAGCTCAGTGGGCGGGGCGGAGGTGGAGTTCCCTGGTTGGCGCCTGGTGGGCGGGGAGGGCGGGTCTGAGCACGCTCAGTGGGCGGGGCGAAGCCAGCACTCAGGGGTTGGCGCCTGATGGGCGGAACCGTTGGGGGGTTTGGGCGGTGCTCATTGGGCAGGGAGGAATCATCGTGTCTGGGCAGGGCCTGGTGGGCGGGGATAATGGGAGGGTCTGCGTGGAGTTCAGTGGGAGGGACCGAGTGGATGGGGGGTCTGGGTGGAGCTTAGTGAGCGGGCGGTCTTGAGTTGACAAGGGCGAAGGTGTGCGGGGCCTGAAGGTGGGCGGAGTAGGCCTTTTGTGGCACTTTCCTAGGCGTGTTTCAGGGAGCTGGTTGAATTCTCGTTTCTGAGCATAGTTGCTTACCTGTTCCGACCGGGTCCTAACCTGCAGACCCCTAGACGCTTGCCTTCCAGCCTGATATGGGCTTAAGTTTATCAAAACTTTAAAAAAAAAAAAAAACAACAACAGCGAGCGTTTAAAATTGCACTACTAAAATGGAAGAGCGAGGGATAGCGAGGTTCGCTGAAGCTGGATCCAGATCATGCTTGTTAATTAGCATGTTTGGCTCCTTGATCAGGTTTCAAAACGAGGCAGGGCCTTGATTTCCACTTTTTTTTTTTTTTTTTTTGAGTGCTGGGATTAAAGGCGTGTGCCACCGCCGCCGGGCGACTTCCACTTCTAATATGAAGGTAGAGGAGGTTTTAAGTCAAGGCTAGTTTAAACTCTGTTGCACACTCCATAATTTGGGGCTGGGTGGACATTCAGCATTGTTACCATATAATGAGTTAAAAAAAATCATTGTCTTAGAAACAAACCTTTGGAAAGAAGATGCTAGATGGGGATGTTCAGTATTTTGATGTTTACTTAACATTATCAGGAAGTTAAGGGCCTGGTGTGTGACTTAGTGGGAGCAAGGCTGTGGGTTCCATTTCTAGCACTATTTTAAAGAAAAAAAAAATAGATGTTGAGGCAGGGAGGATCATGCATTCTATGCCTGCCTGGGCTACTATAAGAGTCCCTATCACAAGAAACAGAACGAATATTGCCAGCTCTAAGACCCAGGTTCGATCCCCAGAACTCAAAAGTGATAAGCATAGTGGAGTGCACTTTACCCCAGTGCCTGGAAGTTAGAGGCAGGTAAGTCCAGACGACCTAACCTGTATGCTTCAGGCCAGTAAGAGACTTCATTGAAAAGAGGGTGGACAGACAGAGCATCTTCCTTGGAATGGCACCTGAGGTTGTCCTCTGGCCTCCACAGCTGCAACTGCGCGCGCGTGTGCGCGCGCACTCACACACACACACACACACACACACACACACACACACACACACATTCATTTTAAAAACTAATAAAACGACACTGGCAGCAGGGAGACTCCTGGGTGTTCCCTCCCTCCCCGCAGGGTAACCGCATTCCCTGTTCTTCTCTGAGTCACTAGATGCCTACACACCACTGGCAGTACTCTGTTCCTTTTGGCCTGCGTGGGCCTTTTTGTAAGTAGAACCACATACTGTTTTACAGTTGTTCCCTCAGCAGTTTTGCTTAGAGACTCATACGTGTTAGTAGTACCTGTGGCTCTGCTTCGTTGCTTCTCACTGCCGTGACGTTCCCTAGGCTAGCATTGAACTTGTGGTAATCCTCCTGCCTCAGCCTCTTAAGTGTTGGGATTACAAACATGAGCCACCACAACTGGCTGAGTATTTTGATCTTAAAAACCAATATGGCTTGATGCCTATCCTTGGGTACATCTAGAAGCACACCCCTGACCGTCTTACCTAGGTAGCACTCGGTCTTAGCTGAAAAGCCTAGAAGCGATGGGTGTCTTTCAGCTGATTGCTTCGTGGACTCAATCACGGAGTCAGGGCGTTTCCAAATGCTTACACCAATTTGGCCTGTGCTAGTGAGTGTGTCACAGTTCTTGCTCTGCAGCCTTGCTGACAGCTGCTGTTTTTCACTTTTGTAGTTCTGGTAGATAATACTCTTTCTTTGTGGCTTGAATTTTTCATTTCCCTAATAAAGTCTGTATGCTTATGACACTGTTGAGTTTTCTCCTGTGAACCATTAAGACCATTATTCTTGTTTTTTCTTTTGTTGTGCTGATTTGTAGGTTTTCTTTATATATTATAAATACTAGTCCTTTGGGAAATGTTGGGAAATCTCCCAGACTCTCTTTATTGAGTCTTTTGGTAATTGAGGTTTGTGAGTTCTGCACAGTGAGACCTGTCCCACTTCACTTCCCTTTCATGGTGTGTGGCTTTCAAGTCTTATTTAGGACTTATGAACACATTCTTCTGATTTGGCTCCTGCAAGTTTTGTAGTATGATTTCCACACTTGTTTTCTTTAATCCACTGGGAGTTAGTATTGGTAAAATCCAGTTGTTTATGATCTCAGCTGCTCCTGTTTTATACACTGAGGAGTCCATCCTTTCCATCAATCTGATCTTCATATGTGCTGGTCTCTTTCTTGATGTGTGTGTCTGTGTGTGTGTGTCTGTGTGTCTCTGTGTGTGTGTCTCTCTGTGTGTGTGTTGTAGGGGTTAGTTTTTAGCAGGGAGCAAGACTCTTCTTGAGGCAGGGTCTCTTAACAGTCCCTGCTTCAGTTTGGATGGTCGGTCTTCCAGCCAGTTCCTGAGTGTTTTTTTTTCTAGGATGTACACATCCTGGAAGCCTATCTTTTGGTAACCATTCACTGTCTGGTTTTGTGGTGGTTTGTTCATGGGCTTATTAAATGTATGATCCACAATCCACTGCTGTTCCCACGTATGGTCCATACAGTAATCAAGAATTAAGATTTGTCCCTTTATTGAAATGGTAATGGCATTTAACAAGCATTAGTTTTTGGGTACTTAGCACTGTAGAGATATGAACATGGGTCTGGCCCCCCAGGAACTCATAATAATAGCTGAGCAGCCACCAGCCAGCTCTCAAGTGCAGAAAGAAGAGCTTGTGATAAACAAGGGCTGTGGCAGTGAGGCCAACAGTAGCTACTTCAGACGATCTGGACGGGCTAAGGAAAGGACAGGCGGGCTTGTCCTCCAGGGTAAAGAGGAGGTATGCCTGTAAGGGAAGGCACTTGATATAGGGATTTATGTAAGTGAAGACAAGAGGAAGGAAGTGTGGCTGAATATAAGGAGTAAGAAAGGAAACCTGGGTGAGGGCTCCCTGGAAATGGCTGGAATTTAATTTCAAAGGTTTAAGTGTCTCAAGATGTTTTACTGATAAGTGTGGACTTAAGGTTATTGAGATTATGGTTATATGTTAGCCCAGAGCTGAAAGGACTGACCTGGCTGTCACACAAAACCCAGCAAGCTATGGAGACAGATGGACTCCCAGACAAGATAATCTGGACTAAACCAGGGCAAAATACCTTGATTTTTAAAAAAAAACACATTTGTCACATCAGAAGAGTAGAAGCCAATGACACTGGGTGCAGAGAGTGGAGGAAGCCCTGAGTGAATGTTTGCTGTTCACATGGCAACAGCCGTGCCAAGGACTCAAGTCTCAAACCTATGGGAAAATGGCAAAACCTTCCCCAGGCTATGCTCAGAGAAATGACAAAGCCTCCCCTCCTGGTCTGAGTGCTAAAATAAGGAGTGTGTGCATAAAATGTCCATCCTAGCTTCCTTTTCCCACCTCCCTGGATATTTGCAGCCTAGAAGACTGCTCCCCTCCAGAGACTGTTCCTACTAATGTTGGTTAAACTTGTGTCCTTGGCTCACCTGTCTACCATAATCCCTGCCTCCTTGGTTCAGTTGTATGCAATAACCCTGCCCGCCAACCCCCCACCATTTTACCTCTATATGATAAAATGCTTGGGTGGGCGAGGGGATGCTGAGGTTTCTCCATTCGAGGACTAGGCCACCATTTTTGTGTATCTGTGTGTTTGTCTTTTCTTCATTCCCTTGTCACCTTGAGTCAGGTTCAAGTCTCTGGAACCACATGCAAGGACTCAGCAATTAGACAGAGTCACATTGTTGGCTCTCATCACCACAGTCCATCTCCAGAACTTTTCAATCTGAAATTCTAAACTCAACGACACAGTAACTAATGTTTCCACCATCCCAGCCCTCACCAACCATCTCACCAAAAAGTGAGGTTGACCACTCCAAGTGCCACATATAAGTGACATCATCATTCAGCGGTTGGCTTTTTACATCTGGCTTGTTTTGCTTAGTGTAATGTCCTCAAGGTTAGTCCATCTTGTAGCATGAGCTGGAATTTTCCTAGTTCCTCAGGGTAAATAATAAGCCATTGTGTGTGGACGGGAACCTTTCCTATCAATCCAGGCACCAGTTGATACATGCCTTGCTTGTGGCTGGTGTGAGTGATGCTGTAATGAACATGAGTGAACATGTGAATGTTGCAGTATCTTTAATTGTAGTTTTCTGAGGAATTGTTGTCCTTTGCTATGGTGGCTGCCCTCATTCACCGGCAGATTTAGCCTGTCCCTCTTAATGGCTGTCGCCTCCTCCTCTTTCTTTCCTGGTAGTCCATCTCCATTGCTTTTGAGCTGGAACTTCCCATAGCCTGTTTCAAAAGAAGTCACCCAGGAGCTCTCTGCTGTGGTGGCCTGCCCATCCCCTTGCAAAACCCCTGTACGATATCCCTGAGCTGGAGGTGGGGACGGTTCCTAATGGGCCTGCATCATCTGCTCCTCCTGGCTTACTCTTCTCTTCCTGGGACTTGACCTTACACAGAGAGTATGATGAGTACCCTAGGATTTTCCACCAGCTACCTATGTAGAGGGTTTGACCTCAAATAGGGTTGAGTGTTTTGAAGCTTCTGTGACTCAGAGCTGAGAGATGCTGGTGACCTGCCATTTAAGGAGATGCTATTTTGGAGTCACACTCACTTGAAATAGAATTCTTGCTATAGGAGAGGAGAAAGGGGCAGGACCAGGCTACAGGGCCATAGACTCTGCTTTTCCTTAGGAGATTTTCTGGAATAAATGTTCATTTGCAGAATGCTTTTAGGAGATTTCCAAGACACCAAAGGGTTACTCTTAGGTAATTATCATGGTTACAGATGTGTTATCTGCTTAGACCTTGGTGCCTCTGGGTTTTATCTCAAGGGTGGAGGGTGTTTAAGGGTGGTGTCACAAAATGGCTATGAAAAGACAAGTTAGTGGCTGCCACTGGGTGAACTGGAGAAGACAAAGCTGGGAACACCTGAGATGGAGTTACTGTTGGGAACTCGAGAGTGGAACAGTTCAACAGAGAACTAAGACTTAGCCATTGCTGTCCGTATATGGGTGGTGGGGAGGTTAGTGTGACCTGGAAGATGTCTGGGAGGCAGGTGTGCAGGTGAAGCCTAGCCAGAGCTTTGCACAGTGGTTACCATGCAGCTTTGATGCTGAACGACTCATAAGCTCTGGGTGATACCCACACTGTCGTCTCTCAGTCAGACTCTGGGGTATTTTGATGGGCAGCTGGTAAATAGGCTATAGTTAAACTGTCATCATGCTACTGATTTCTGTCCTAGAAGGCAGAGAGTGTGTCTGGTTCATCGTTGCATTTTGTGGCCTTGGAATCATGGTTGACTGGTCCTAGATGCTTGATGGTTGATTTAGTTGGAGGAACTTAATGGCTGTTGAGAGGAAGCCCAGAAAAAGGAAGCGACATGGTTGAAGAAGATTTGCACTGAGGCGTGGCACCCGTGGAGGAGTGCCATGAACCTGTCCTGAACCAGAAAAGAGATTTGGGCAGAAATAGGAGTCATAAGGAGACAAAGAGTAAAAGAACGGAGGTGGCAGACTGGGTTATTCTGGGGAAGTATATGGAGGAAAATGAGAACACTGTGGGCCAGAACTCGTGTCCCTAAGATTGCCTGTGTTGGGCAGCTCTTATCACCATATGTCACATGAGCACCTTTCATAGCTGCTGAACCTTTTGAGAGCAAGAGGCTCACAAGGGTTTCTCTTACAGGTAAAGGAACTCTTTTCATCCTTAGGGGTGGACTACAACATCCTGGAACTTGATCAAGTTGGTGAGTAGCTGTCAGTAATGCTGCTATTTGTAGTAAGTGCCAACATGACTGTTCCACTTTGTTCACTGTATTTTCATGTCTGTCTGTCAAATGAGCTTTTGTTTGTGTTCAAGCACACAGAAGATGAACCTTCATATGACAAACAATTTGATAAAGATTTTTCATATTTGAGGGCAGGAAATGGGAAGAACTGTGGGCTGCTAACTTTAAAGTGTTTGAGGCATTGGATACTTGCCTGCCAGCATTCTACAAAATCGATTAAACTGTCATAACAAAGAATCCACTCCATTTCCTGGTTGCATTACCCATGGGGAAGAGCATGTTAAGTTTTCAGCTTAGTTTTGAATCTTTGTCTTCCATGGCCATGGCAGTCACTGAACACTTCACATCTGCTATTCTTTGCAGGAATTTGGGATGGGGTAGTGACCAGAAAAGACTCTCAACTTTGTCTTCATGGCACCTGCTTTTTACCAAGTTGCCTTAAGAAGCAAGGTGCTCTTGTTTCTTACCAATAAGTGCCAAGTCCCAAGTGTCATGGCCCAGTTGCATCTTTCAAGGAGGGTGAATTGCAGACCATACTTAGAAAAACTTAAATGTAATCATAGGAAGCGTTTTCTTGTTAGTTATTATAACAGGTTTCACTTGGGTTTTGCTCTCTTAAAGGATACTTGTCCTTTGTTTGTGGCAGAGCTATTGTGTATGCAAAAGCGAACCCAAATGTTTTGTCCTAACAGAAATCCATAGGTAGGCCTTTGGGTTTAAGGTGTCCTCTGAAGGTCTAGCTACTTTCTCATCTTAAGTCATTATTTCATGAAGTCATGGAGCACATTGGCCTGTCACGGATGTGAACTTGTAAGCAACGAGCAGTGAGCATCGTAAGACTTGAACTCTGCAAGGGGATCCTTTATAGTATCTTCATATACTCTTTTATTCTTTAGATGATGGGGCCAATGTTCAGGAAGTGCTGACAGAAATCAGTAACCAGAAAACAGTGCCCAATATTTTTGTGAATAAAGTGCACGTGGGCGGATGTGAGCGAACTTTCCAGGTAATGATCATCATCACTCATGGTCCTCGACACTGTTTGTTCACATTGTAATTTATCTGTGTCAAAGGGGAGTACCAGTGGAAAATCACGAGGCCAGTCACCTCCAGGTGACCCTGAAGGCTGCCAGGGAAGTGAGCTTTCCCACCAACTAAACCTGAGGAGTTATACAGTGCTGACCCAGGCACAGGAGGGCCATTCTTACTGAAGTCAGAGTGGCCGTGACCATCATAGGACTGGGTCCGTCACCACTCCCCCTTGTGTGTGTATGTGAGGAGGGAGCATCGTGAGGCTCCTGAGGGCTTCACAGTGGCTCCGGAGCAGCTCATGACTCAGGAGGTGGCTCATGAGGCCCCATCCCTTCCTAGAGATAGATAAGCTGTTAATTCCCATGAAGACAGACCCTTCTTCAGTAGTGCAGCTGACAGCAATTCCACACTCCCCTAAGCAGCCCAGTTAAACTCATGAGTTCACTAAGCCACACCTGGAATCATATCTTTGTTTTGCCCTATCTGTGGTAAACAGATCTCAGGAAGAGCGACAGGTAGGTCACTGGGGCCAGGACAAGTCTCCTCCTCCTGATAGGGGGTGAAACATGCTGTTCTCCAACAAGCATTGGCCAACACAAACACTGTTGTCCAGGGAGTTAGAACTCCTGTCAAGGCTGCCAATACTGGGTGCAAAGTATGGGGCTTTAACTTCTTGATTCTTAGAATGTGGCCATTGGGCAAGAAACATTGAGATGTGTGTGATAAAGGAAGCCACCCAGCACAGCTGTGGAATGAAGGGTGAGTTTGTGAGAGATCATGAAGACAGCTGTTGATGCATAAAAGCCAGGTTTCAAATGAAGACCAGTCCAGAGGACAAGGACTTGAAAAGTGACACTTGATCATTTATCTGTGGAAAATGGCCTCATTTGACATGATAACTGTCAGAATGTCTAGGTCATAGTGTGTGTGTGTGTGTGTGTGTGTGTGTGTGTGTGTGTGTGTGTGTGTGTTGGCATAAGTTGTACCCTACTTAGATCTAGGTAGATTTACAATCTCAACACAAATGTTTTGACCCATCATTCATGAGGTTTTTCTTCACTTTTCTTTTTTATTTTTGGTGCCAGGAACCAGATGTGTCGGGCCTTGTGTTCCACCACTAAGCTAAATCCCCAGCATTGAGTATTTTTTTAAAAATATTTTTCATTTTTAAGTTTGTGTGTATGTGGAATGGAGTAGGCTTGTGTGTGAGCACATGCACAGATGTCTGCAAGGGGCAGAAATGTCAGGTCCCCTGGAACTTCAGTTTCCAGCAGAGTTGCTTGCCAACCACCTTGGTTCCTAGGAACTGGACCCAGTTTCTCTGCTAGAACAATATGTGCTCTTGACTGATGAACTGTCTTTCCAGCTCCAGATTTGTTTAGACAAAGAATCCATGCTGGTTGAAAATGGAGTCATGTGCTATTCTGTCTCCTTTGGTAATCTGTAGGCACATAAGAACGGTTTACTGCAGAAGCTCCTTCAGGAAGACTCGGCTCATGATTATGATCTCATCGTCATTGGCGGGGGCTCTGGCGGCCTCTCTTGTGCAAAGGTGTGAACACAAGTGAACCATTAATGACTCTTCCGAAAGTTAACTGTAATCTTGCAATCTAGGCTTTTATAATAACTGGTTCGATTGGGGGTGGAGGAGTATCTGGCAAATTCAGACTGTTCACTTAAGGGAGAGAAAAATGGGAGAGAGAAGGTGGCAAGACACTTTTTATGTGGTTGTTTTTTGTAGGAAGCTGCCAACTTGGGAAAGAAGGTCATGGTGCTAGACTTTGTGGTCCCATCGCCTCAGGGCTCATCCTGGGGTAAGCTGTAGTTCCTGCTTGGCCTTTTAAATTTATTTATTTATTTATTTATTTATTTATTTATTTATTTATTTATTTATTTATTTATTTAATGTGCATTGGTGTTTTGCCTATATGTATGTCTGTGTGAGGGTATCAGTTCCCCTGGAACTGTAGTTACAGACAGTTATGAGCTGCCATGTAGGTGCTGGGAATTGAACTTGGGTCCTTTAGAAGAACAGCCAGTGCTCTTAACTGTTGAGCTGTCTCTCCAGCCCTTGTCCTATGCTTTTACAGGCAGCTTCTATCCTGTAATCTCATGTAACCCTGCCTGGTCTCAGGAGGGAGAGCCGTCCAACAGTGTAGACTCTGCAAAGGAACATGCCAACAGTTCAGCTTTACAAAAAGAAAGGTGGTTCTGTGGCCCAGCACCCACACTTCTGTCATAGATTATTTTGGCATACATGCACTGGTACTTTTGCATTGTTGCAGGCACAGTGCATATGCTGTGTCCTGCTCACTCTCTGTTTCTGCCTTAGTCTCCCAGCTGGGCTTGATGGCTGTGTAGTGGCTGCTATTGTCATTGTCCACCATCATTACCCTTTGGTTGCATGAGAAGCACACACAGTCCTGGCCATATACCTCTGCTGTGGGCTGCAGGGCATGGTGCTCACCTTGCCGTGTGGGGTTTTCCCTCCTTCTCAATAAAATAGAACATACAGATTTTGTGCAGAATATTCATGTATGTTTCATTGCATTCTTTTGTCTCTGGTCTGCTCTGGCCTAGAACCCTGACCACTGGTTGTCTCTTTTTCTGGTTTCAGGTTGGGCTTTGTCAGTTTGGAGCAGGGGACAGGGAAGGGAAGCTAGGGTCCTGACACTCTTGGCCTCATCGTCGGGAAGGCCACACATGGTTGATGCCACTGTCCTGGGACTCACTCTGGCTCCTTGCCCCTTCTCATAGCCACTGCTATTGCTAACTTTGGGTACTGCTCTGACCTTTGTTACTCTCCTGTCCCCACTGTGCCCTCATTGCTCTATGGACTCGATTCTGTACCCAGCCTGACTGTGCTGTCTCGTTCCTCCCGGAACCATGGTAGGTAAAGTATGGGGAAAAAAACAAAAAAACCAAAAACACTGTTTGAAATTCAAGCTAATTCAAAGGCTTTAGCCTAGAATTTCCAGGGTACAGCAGCACACCTTGCTTGTTCTTTGACTTGTCTGGGTGTACCCTTGACCTTTTCCCTCCTGCCTCTTTCCTGTTTCTCTCCTCCCCCATCCAGAAAAGATCCTGCTAATCTGTGCACTGGAAGAGATTGCAGCTGGAGAGAATTCCTTACTTGGCTCCTGCCAAGGGGTGCACTGGCCTGGCCTGTTTCGTGTGGGGCACATGGGGCATACAGGCCTGGCCTGTTTTATGTAGGTCACATGCAGAGTAGATGCCACCAGGCAGCTTTCGCGGACTGACAGTTGGCTCAGAGGAGTGAGGGTTAGAGAGAGGCTAGAAGCTGTCGTTCCAAGGGTGCAGTGCTTTTCTCGTTAGCCAAGGTGGTTTTCATCCCTTGAGCAGCAGACACAAGTGCGTTCTGTCTCCAGAGCTCTTCACGTAGACTTCTATTTTCACTCATTATTTGGTCTTCTCCGCAGATTGCAAGTTAGATAGTTGACTTAACCATTTGTGCCTCGTTTGGAGGATGACAGTTGTCCCTGCCACCGCCAGAGCTTATCTTCTTGCATATTTTAACAACCCCACATTGATGTGAGAAACATCATACAAGCACGCTTGCTCCTCGGGGAATGTTGACATGTTGCTTTCTTTTCAGGCCTGGGCGGCACCTGTGTCAATGTGGGCTGTATTCCTAAGAAGCTGATGCACCAGGCAGCCCTCCTGGGACAGGCCTTGCAGGACTCGAGGAAATTTGGCTGGGAGTATAACCAGCAGGGTGAGTGGGGGTTGGAAAACCCAGACAGGCTGAGTCCACGACTCCGCGGTTGGTTCTGACAGTCACTCAGTAAGCGTTCCTTAGGTGTGACCGACCACTCTGCCCTTCAGTTGCAGAGGCCACAACGCCGGCTTCTATCCTGGGACTTAGACCTAGAGACAAAACTTGAGCAAGTCCAGCAGAAGGTGAAAGGCAGTGATGGCCATTTTCATTTTTTCCAATGTGAAAAAATAGAATGAAAGTTTGTTGTAGCGGTGTGGCGTGGAGTCTGTGTTAAGCATCTTGGCTGAGTCCCATTGCTGTTTGCTGTCGGGACTCTGCCATGCGAGGTAATGACAGCAGATCCTGCCCGGAAGCAACAGCATCTCTGCAGAGCACGTGAGGGGTACCTGGCATACCCTGCAGCATCAGAGAAACACTAAGAAAAGCTTTGAGGATGAAGTAACCCTTGACCCACGTTATGTTAGCTACCCTTCTCCCTCTCCTTTTTGACAGGTCTTGCTCACTATGTTCCCCAGGTGGGATTTGAACTTATAGGCTCAAGTGATCCTCTTACCTCTACCTCCTGAGTAGCTGGGATGACAGGCATGCATCACCATGCCCAGTTCAAGCTGCATCTTGAAAGTGACAGGTTGGCCAAAAGTGCAGATGTGAGGAAATACGGTCTCTGGGGGGCAGAGTGAAGATGGTGGAAGAGGTGACCTCAGGGAGCTAAGCAGTTAGCTTACCTGAGAGGTAATAGAGGTTGAGCTCAGGCAGGAGAGAGGCCCAGGCCACAGCTTGGAGTCCAGATCCCTCCTGAAGCGCTAGGGAACTTAGAAAGGGGAAGAGAAGGGAGAGATGAGGCAAGAAATGCCACAGGCCTGAGCAGAGATGCTGAGCTGAGAGTGGGAGGTGGATTTGGGGAGGCTGGTGACGCAGACATGATTGGCTGTGGTGGCCAGCTAGACGCAGAGGTAGTCTTCATGGTGGCCCTGTCGGAAGATCTTGTGGAGGTTTTAAAAACCATGAATGAGTTGGCTATCTCCAGAGACCTTGATGCCAATGTGGGTAGTGTTGTCTATAGAGTATTACAGGTGACTGATAGCCATAGACCCAGCAGATTCCCTAAGGTGGAGGAGAGAGGCAGGCATTAGGTTGTACACTGGGTGTGGGCCGTGACTCGCCGAGATGGCTCAGTTAGTAGCTGGGATCAGTTGAGTGGTAGTTCAGTTAGTAGCTGGGATC